TGCAACTCTTATAGTATCGCTGCTCCGAAAAGGAATGCCACTGAAGTATGCGGTCGTTGTACCTGCATACTTCTGGTAGCGCAAGGGTCTACGGTGGGGTAAGTAAATCGTTCGAAACCAGGAGGGTGCCTTACCTCGCCATTCCTGTTCAATTTCGTCGTAGACGAAGTACTGGAGAACGCACTTGGTGGTCTCCAAAACGTACGTGTTTAATGGGCTGTTGGATAAAAGCTATGCGATTTAGAGTACGCTGATGACATCGTATGCCTGTTCGAATTTATGGAGAATGCGCAATGCGCTGTTGACAAACTAGCAAGTTCTGTATCTTCTTTCGGCATGCGCTTTGCACCTTCAAAGTGCAAAGTGATGCTACAAGACTGGTTGTCCTCTACCCCAGCGCTGATGCTCGATGGTCAAGAATTAGCTGTAGTGGAATGTTTCACCTACTTAGGTAGCTGCGTTTCAAACGACGGTAGTATATGCAATAAAGTAACCGCCTGCATTTCCAAGGCTCGAGCAGCTTACGCAGGNCAGGATTGAAACACCTTTGGTGCAGACGCGACGTTTCGTTGAAATTGAAAGGTCGCGTATACTGCGCCAGTGTGCGGTCAGTTCTGCTTTGTGGTCATGAGACTAAGTTTGCGCGTGGAAGATATTCGTCGTCTTGAAGTATTCGATTGCCGATGTTTACGTAGTTTGGCGCGGGTTGCATGGAGCAAGTTTGTAAGTAACTCTGAGGTGAGGCGTCGCATTTTGATAATGATTCGATGGAGAATTCCTTGTCCCATCGAATTCAGACTAGTCGGCTTCGCTGATTAGGGCACGTATTGCGCATGTCCAGTCATCGTCTGCCGCACCGCGCCTTATTCGCAGTTGCCGCTCCAGGTTGGAAGAAACCGCATGGAGGTCAACAGATGACGTGGAAACGAGGTATGAAGAAATGCACAGAGCTATTAGGTAGAATCGGCGTCTTCCATCTTCCTGGTTGGGGTCGGAAACACTGTGCAACTGGCTGGCTGAAGACACTGAAGGATATGTCAACTAAACGACGGAAGTGGCGTTCTTGTTGTTATTTCTTATCAAATCAGAATGCTGGAAAAGGTATGTATGCGCACTTAGATTGTGTACTCTGTGTCTTGACCATAGAGGTTCTTTTTCTTTGCCTACCTCCAATTAGGCCCAATCCCTCTCCAGTTTGTGCTTTATCACTTGATTTGTGTATATTGCGCGCTCGGCAGCGATCAGTGAAGTTCGTTTCACTGTATCTCGCTGTACGATGATGATGATGATTTTGCGAGAGTCTTCGACTCTTGATGGTCCCGTAGTTTGGCGTGAGTAAGACGGAGTGAGTGTGTCCGCAACAACTAGACAAGCCGTCATACCTTCGCATAGGTTTCGATGGATAGTTCTTTATCCTGTGTAATTCAGATTATTAAAATACGCTGGTTAGGATACTTATAGCTGATGCCTAGCAGTCATCTGCCGCACCGCACCTTGTTTGCAGTGTTTCCTTCAGGGTTGAGAACCTTACAAGGGGGTCCATAAATTACATAGAGAAAAAATGCACATAGATTTTAGGTGGAATAGGTGTATCCCGACGACAGTGGCATTCTTGATATCATTTCTTATCGAATGGGAGTGCTTGAAAAGACCTGTGTGCAACATCCAGCTCTGTATTCTGTGTTGATCACAGATGTTCGCTTTCTTTGTTTCCTCCGTCAAAATCGGTCCATGTCCTAATAACCTTGCACATTCTTACTGGGTATACATTATGAGCTTGGCAGCGATCAGCGAAGTTCGCCTCATTGTGTTTTGCTGGTGTTACTACTGTTTAATTTTTCGTGTCCTTTTTCATCTTTTTCTGCTTTTTTCACTTGATATGCGTGAACTCGGAAAACCTATAGGACTTCTCTGCTGCGTCTGCATCTGCGTGTCTTATCAACGGTCCTAATTTGTTATCCAGTCGTGATTTGATTGATTTGCTCTACTTACTATTACAACCACATCCACTTTATCTTGAGTTTCGTGCACGACATCCTTTTATGGTTACAAACGATCCTAATGATCAAAGTGCCGATTTTTCAACGGTCCATCAATGCATAAGTTCACCTGCCGGTCGGAGTTTGCTTCGTCGTTAGTGTGTTACTCGTTACCGATTGGTTCCCTTCCCGTGCTCCGATATTCGTGTGCTTGTGTACGTGCGCATATAGGAACACGTGCTCCAGTCGAATCGATTTTCGCTCACAGTTGAACGGAATCAATCCACCAGTTCGAATACACCTGCACATGTCGATACGCGAGCAGCACACCAGGAACACTAATTGCAATCATGTATCATGCATAAGTGTGGTCATTCTTTTTGTCCACTCTCGGCGGTTTGCGCCGTTGATACCTTGGCGATAGCGCTTGGATTTCGTTTACCGGTTTAAGTTGCCTCACTTCTCGGTCTTACCAATCGACATTAGTGAAGGAGTGTCATGTATTGTTCCTCACTGAAAAATAATAGCCTCACTTCCTTGAATTTCTCCTTACAGTTTTACATTTGTCGTAGGTCATCACTCGAACTATAGATTTCGGAGAAATGCCGATTGAATTAATGCAATATCACCTAAATTGATTGGATTAAATTTACGCTGTGGAAAAACACACACAATGACGATGATGGACGCCGTTTAGGGCCATTAATCGAAGGCAAGATGTAGAGTATATTTGTATATATTCCTAATGCGTTCATAGGAAGATTCAAGCTTCTGTGACTAAGTGCAGTTCAGAAGTGTTCAACAATGTAGCACTAAGTACCAATAGTGTTTTTTCTCGTTTCATTTATTTCTGGCTCCTCGTAATTCGACAGGAGCTAATCACATTCTTACCTCATGTGAATAGTAAGCGTAACAACCTCGTTTGGAGTGCGTTCCGTTAGTTTCCTTCTTTGTTGAGAACCGTAATTTGAAGTTAGTTCATTACAGTGACTCACTGTATTGTCCTGAATAAATGATTTTTTATTACACACTTTCGTGTAAATAATAGCATACGGGGTAAACCCCATAGTCACGAGGACCTGTCGTTCAGTGATGGAACCCGGTAACTTAAGCCCCGGGACTTGGAGTGGTGAACCA